AAAAGAATGAATTCTTGCTTTTTAAATAATAAAATTCTGCTTATGAAACCCATGGATAATTTTAAAACTACAAGGGAATAACCTAAATGTTAATTGGCAAAACTATGATTCAAAAAGATACAAATACATACACTGGAATGTTATTTAGCCTTCAAAAGGAAGAAATACTATAAATAAGTATATTGATGATATTGTGCTAAGTGAAATAAACCAGTCACAAAAACACTGCTTCAAGGGCTGGCCAAATAGCTCAGTGGATTAAAGTGCCTGCTTCGGCAGACACAGTGTTGGAATTCAATCCCCAGCATGCTGTGCCAGCCCCACGGGCGTGCTGAGACCATGACTGAGACTGGGCATGGTGCACGCACCTATAATCCCAGCTCTTGGGAGACTGAACACAGATGGTAGCGAGACCCTGTAGACCCTGTCCTAAAATACAAAAAAAAAACCAGAAAGATACTCTTAAACATGTTTTAAAATCTACAAGTGACGTTCTACATAAAGCTGTTTTAATTGACTATACATTGAAGTAATCCAACAAGTTCCCTAAAACTTAACGTATTTATTTTTACCCTGTAACACGTTCGAAAACAAGACTGAAGTGACAGCTACATGAATATAATTTCAGGCAACTTTTAAACAATGTTTAGATAAGACTGGGTAAGGAGTTGGGTAGATGGCCCAGTGTTATAAGCGCTTCCTTGGCAAGTGCAGGGGCCTAAATTCAATCCCTGGTTCGGCAAAAAAAAAAAAAAGCTAGATAAGACTGGGCGTGATGGCGTGGACCTGTAATTCCAGCACTTGGGAGCCTGAACACAGGCAGATCACTACCAGTCCGATCTATGTAGTGAGACCCTGTACTAAAATACAAAAATAATACTAATAATGTTTAGATAAAGGCAAACAGTATTATATACACTGGTTTGTTTGGGTTTTTTCCCCCAGAACTGAGGATTGAACTCAGGCCCTTGCACTTGCCAGGCAAGCGCATATTCTACTGAGCCATCTCCCTGACCCCAAAGGACCTTGCACTTGCCAGGCAGGTGCTTAAGCTGCTGAGCTATATCCCAGCCCAATAGCAACAGTTTTCTTTGTTGTTATATCCTATGTTAATCAAATTACATCTATTATTGTCCTGATGGTACCATTTTAAGAATAACACCAATTATTCTGAGTGATATAAAGTATAATAAAGCAATCAAAATATGAAAACTTAGCCCTGAAGGGAGCATGAAAGAACATACAATGTTATGAAAATATATGAAAAACTAGAAGTAGAATCTGAAAAATGAACAGAATCAAACATAAATATTCCAACAGAAGACAGACCTAGACAACTACACACTGAACATAACTTTAATCCACTATAAAGAACTATAAAAACTTTTTACATATTCAAAAATTTTTATTGAACACCTACTTTAAACCAAACATGGTTCTCAGTACTTGAGCTGAAGTCAATGAGTCTGATATAGTCTCAGCCCTACTAACACATATTTTAGTGCTGCAAACAACACATGTAAAGAGTAAGTGCTATGGGCCAGGTGTGGTGGTGCATGCTTTATTCCTGCACCTTGGAGGCTGAAGCAAGAAGACTGCTGCAAATTCAAGGCTAGTCTTGGCTATACAGTGAGTTCAAGGCCAGCCTGAACTGAACAGCAAAACCTGTCTGAAAAAGACAGCAATAACAAAAAAGAGAATATTACAAAGAAAAATTAGGCAGAGCAGGTAAGGAAGTATGCAGTCCTAGGGTGAATGGAAATTTAGCAGTACTTGAAAAAAATGAAAGAATATTTAATGTGGATTATCAGGAAGAACATCTGTGAAACAGAGAAAATACAAAGGCTCTAAAGCAGAACATACTTGGTGAGTTGAAGGAATAGTAAGTTTTAATACAGTTGCCCAAAAAAAAAAAAAGGATTCCCCATCACAGACTCACTGTCCCAAATACTGAACTGAAACCAAAGCACTATATATAAAGGACTTTCCTAAGAAGAGTCTTATTCCTTATGAGACTAAATTGAACAACCATTAAAATTCT